GAGAGAGAGAGAGAGAGAGAGAGAGGAGGCAAAACAAAAGACAGGGAAAGAATGGACAGAGGGACTCCGAAGAGAGGCACACTCCGGCCCTTGCCCTTGCCCTTGCCCTTGCCCTCGGCCTGGGCTGAAGGAAGAAGCAGACCGCCCCTACCTACCAGCCCCGTGGGGCAGGGGCCAGGGGCCTGCCCCAGTGTCAATCAGGGCAGAGAAGCTGCCACCCACCTACACCTGCTGCCCCGGGGACCCGGGCCCCCGCCCCTGCCTGCATTCTTCAGAGCCCAGAGCAGACTGTACATGAGCACCGTCCCCACCCCACCCCCCCGCCCCGGCCCCCCGGCTGCATGGCCCTCTTAAGCCTCCTCAGCGGGGCTGGGCAAAAGGGCGCCCCCTCACTCACTTCTCACTCCTCCAGTCCCCTCCCCTCACCCTCACTCCAGTCTCCTCCCTAAGAAGAATCGCCAGTCGCAGCCTGGCCCCGAAGACTGGGAGTGGAAGGGCCTGCCCTCTGCCCAGCAGTTCTCCCCAGCAAAGCAATAAAGAGGGAACAGGCAAGGGGCGGGGCTGAGGGAGCCGAGAGGACACCCAGACATCCTTCCCCAAGGGGTCCCAACCATGGGCAGGAGAGGGAGCCCTCAGGTGGCCAACGACACACCCTGGCACAAGCCTGCACGGGGATCCATCCGCCACCCCAGTGACCAGAAAGCATCACTCACCTTCCATGGGGTGCTCCTCTGTAAGTCAGCGAGGGTCAGGAAAGGGTGAGGCAGAGAGAGAGAGAAAAAGGGAAGGCTAGTTAGTGAGGGTGCCGAGGACGGGGTCTCAAGGGGAGAGATGAGTTCAAGGTCCCGGTGCCCCGCCGTCCCTCCCCGAGGCCCTGACACAAGTCACCCACGCCGGAAGGCTCTGCTAGGGACAACATAGAGACAGAGCTGTTCCCTGAGTCAGTGCCTCACGCACAGGGTCACACGGTCCAGGAAGACCCACGTCTCATGGTGCATTTCAGGAAACTGAGGCCCGGGGCAGGGAAGTGAGCGCTCAAGGTCACATGGAGAATCAGAGGCAGAACCAGGCGCAGCAGTCAGGCAGTCTTGACTCTCCCAGGCACAGCTCCTCCCCTGCCTTCCACTGTGGCTCAAAGACAGATGGGGACACGCTCACACTCAGTGACACACTGACACACATAGGTACTTAGCGATCCAGAGACGCATGTAATCTCTCACGCAACTCACCCTCGAGGCCTTTGCACACCCAGACCCAACCACCACCCCGCCACCCACCCGGGGAGAACAGTCACCCACACGCAGTCACAAAACACAGTTCGGCCTCCAAGGGCTGTGTGACTCCAGTCACTTAACTGAGTTACTACCGGTCCCTCTTCCGTGGCTCGGGTTCTGTGATTCTAGGAAAAACAGCTGGCTGAAGTGAAGTGCCCCCCGGGGCTGGATGGGCCACTTCAGGGGTGGGACGGGGTCCCATTGCAGCGGGCCCATCCCTAAGTTCCGTCACAGCCTTTGGGTAGCCAGCCCTCACCTTATTAGGGGTCCGCCTGGGCCTGGCCCTGAAGTGCACCAAATGGGTCAAGAGAGGGTAGAAGGGGGAAAGGGGAGATGCAGTTCCTTCAATTAGGCTGCAACTCCTCGAGTAGGCGGGGCTCTGGCCTGCTCTGTGGGGGGCTGTGCCCCCCCCCCAGCCC